TGATTTTTAGTTGAATAAAATGGTGAACTGGAAGCGAGAACTTCCTTCTCCTTTAATATCTATTTAGTAGCTTGCTTCGATAGAATTAGTTTTGTTTTATAAAAATAAAGAATTTCTGAACTGAATATGTTAATAAACTCAGAATTGCATATTTATCATTTAATTATAATTACCATATTATAAATGCAATCTTCCATCGAATTAACCAATTTTTATAATTTATTTAAATTAAGTATTTAAAAAAATTATATAGATATTATATATGTAACAGTTACATGCTTCATGTAACAGATATTGATCATTTCGCATTTTGATCACATGGTAATACACAAAGATGGTGTGTAAGACAAAAAATGCAGTTTTTAATGACCAAAGATCAACTTTAGTTTAATGATAACCTATCAGCGAATAAATTTCGTTTGCGAAATTTGCGGAACGCAACCTATTTTTGATTTCCGCAACTTTCTGGTTTGCCGTAAATTTTATTTGCACAAGGTCTTATAACCTAATTTAATCTAAAATCTTTATTATATTCTGAGATTATTTGAATGGAATTTTTTTCGTAGTTTTTAATTTAATATAAAAATTTTGATTTTGTATTGTTGCGCAAATAGGCAAAATTCACTGCAAACATTTAGTGTTTGCTTGTTCACGTTGTTACTTATAAGGTTCAAACTTCTTTAAATAATTTATATCCGCAGATTATAAATAATAATTTATGATGACAGAAATATATGAATATTCTGGGTGGTTTTTAACATCGAGCCACGAAACTTAGTCATATGATCGTAACGTAAAATTAAAAACCAATGATCGCTCGTCATAACAAATAGATAAGCCATTTCGATTTATTATTGCTCTATTTTTTTTTTTATTTTAATTTTTTGGCTTATTATTCACAATTAAAACAAAACCTATAGAAAAAATTATAATAAACAATAAACTATCGACATCGTAATTGAATACGGTAATTGTAATAAGGAAATCAATCGGTAATCTTTAAACATGCTGCCGAATTTTAATATTTTTTTTTTTTTTTTTTAAAAGAAAAAAAATAATAATGTATGATTAAAGCGAATTTATTTTTTCCATTTTCAAAAAAAAAAAAAGGAATGGATGAATTTATTTGCATTCATAAATATAGTATAAATTTTTAACTGTAAGGAAGACCTAAATCGGTTTTAATGACAATTTGTGCTACATATAAAAATTACATCAAAAATGGAAATCCGTCGGCACGAAATTTGTGTCACGTTACAATGCATTTTGATTGTAAATTATATATATTGTTATTTTTTCATTTTCAACTTAATCCTCGGAAGACAGTTCAAACCAGGTGAATAAACATACTTTAAGTATTCAACATTTTATAACCGTCGATCCTGTTGTAAAAAAATGTACTGTATATATATTATTTATAGTTCATCGAAGTTACTACCAGCATGGTACTAAACTTTGAACCTGGTAAATCAAAAAATGTCGGCTTTGTTACTAACAAATCCAACGACTGCATTCTTCTCCAATTTGAAAGTGATGGTTTCACCACGCCTGATGAGAAGGTAAAGGAACTCTTGAAAAAATTGACCGAAACAAAATATTTATATGCGTTGAAGTTACTATTTGAAAATCCAATTAATCAATTTTCACCCCAAGTTCTTCGAGATTCCTTAGTCGCATTATCCGATCCAACGCCGTTTGATTATTATTCAAGGCAAAGTGCGATTAGATTAGAATTGCACTTACGTATATGGGTGGCAGTCTTAGAGCAAATTTGCTTTACACAAATGCGTTTAAGCAAAGGACTTCGGGATAAGATTTACAACTCATTGGCAAGTTTTTCAGAGATTCATAGAAAAACAACTCAAGTGTTGCAAGAAGGAATTGATAATAATTATAACTCAGATTTTAATCAATTCAATAAGCTAAATAATAATGAAGAGGATCGAAATATTCTTAAAAAACGAAACTATAATATTGACTTTCTGTTGGTTCACTTGCGGGATACACTGCATAGTCTTCGTGATGATGAAACATGGACTCAAGAATTAATGCGAAGAACGAAAGATTTACTTAAAACCGTTCTTAATGTTTCTACAGGAATTTTATCTGTTGTGGCGCCCGGAATCACTACCTCAAGTGATAATTGTTCATTCTTTTCAAAGCTTGCACAATTACGTAAAGGATTAACTTTCAAATATCCGGTAGCCGTTTATTATGTGGATTGGAGAATTATGTTGATAATCCGACATAATATTATTAAATGGTCTGAAGATACTGAAAAGGTAATTAGCAAAAAATTCGGGGAAATGATCTTGATGGAATATCTTTGGAGTTATTTAGAAAGAGAATGGAATAATTTGGCTGATAAAACTATGTTAGATTCTCAGACAAAATTTGATAAAATTTCAAATAATGTTTCCAATACTTTGAGAAATATCGGAAATCTCATCAATGATCTTGCCGGAAATGAGCCTCTTACATTCCCGCATACATTATGGTTTGGAATTTTGGATCTTGCACATAACCTCATCAAAAGTTCCGATCGGACCGCTACACATGGTCTCAGTTATTATCTGGCGATCGAGTCACTTAATAAGGCACCAAGCAGCTTTATTCAATTTAAAGCGATTGAAATATTGCTGCATTTATACAATATCAATAGTAAATTATTTACAATTGTAGAACTTGATTTTAATCAATACAGTCAAAAATTAAATGAAAATAACTCAAAAGCAGAATCAGATAATTTTCAAAATTTACTAATGTTTGTTAAAAAAAACTATTTAATAGATGAAAAAGAGGAATGTTTGGATCAAAACACATTTTTGATGGAACAAGAAGGATACAATTCATGTAATATTATTGATATTATTGCGGATACAATGACTTGTCCAATCAGCCATGAACCAGTAGATAATTTATGTATTTTAAAATGCCAGCACGAGATATCATTGTATAATTTGAGAAAATTAAAACAAAAGAATTGTCCTAAATGTCGAGAAATTATTGAGGAAAGTGACATCAGATATTTATCACAAAATGCTGTCTATAAACATTTATACCCATATTTATTTTAAGCCGGGCGCATATTACCATCAGATCAAGTAAAAGTTGATCAAAATGAAAGTGATTCAGATACTTCTGAAGTTGATCTTGTTTTAACTAAAAAAAAGCAATCTTCCAAGGAAATTACATTTAACTCTAGTAAATCATTACAATCAATATTTCAAAGAACTTCAAAGAAGCAGCATCCAGCGCATCAAAATGTTATTAGGGAGCTATTAGAAAGAAATTATGAAGAAGCTAAATACTGGTGTAATGAATTTTTAAAAATTTTTCCTAAAAGTTATTCCATGAGATGCATTTTGGCTTATATATATAAAAACCTTAATCATCACGAACAAGCATATCTAAACTTAAATAAAGCCATTGGCTTAAATCCAAAAAATCCAATTGCATATTTTATACAAGGAGAAATTTTTTTCAAAGAAAAAAAATATATTGATGCAGATTTTGCATTAAATAATTCAATATATCGTAAAGCTAAATTTAATAATATTCATTTAATAATTGGAAATATTTCACTTCATTACTGTAATAGTCGTAAAGCGGCATTACAAAATTATAATATAGAATTACAAAGTAATCCGAATAATTATTTATGCTTAAAGAATTGTGCATATATTTATGAGAAACAAGAAAACTACCTGAATACTTTGGAAATGTTACGTAAACTGTTGAATATTAATGAAAATGATTCATTAATTTTATGTTATTATGGAGAAATCCTTATGAAATTAGGTAGATATGTTGAAGCGGAATTATATTACACAAAAGCAAACAATATAGATCCGGAAAACATTCACATTTTAATTAAGAGGGCCATTACTTATATTGTCCTCCAAAAATATGATAAATCATTCTTGGATCTCAACAGAGTTTTAAAATTAGATCCTTTAAATACTTTGGCACATTATTATAAAGGACTGATTTGTTATTTACTAAATGACACAAGTGATGCCTTAGCAGCATTAACGAGGTGCACAGAATTAGATTCAAATGATGATTTAGCAAAAGCACAATTATATTATTTAGAATTCTTACGCGATAAAGATTACTTAAAAGATATAATTATTACAAAAGTTAATCAGATTTCTAACATCGATGAGGATAAATCATTACTGCTTATTAGATGTAAAATATATATTGAATTAGAAATGTATGAAAAAGCATTAAAGGATTCATATAATTTATTTAACAAGAGTCGTGAAGATATTTCAATTTTTTTCCCATTAAAAAAATACTTGTCGTTTTGGTCATACCTATGTAATTATTGTAGCTTAAATGATTATGAAAGCAAAAGTTATGGAATCGTTGATAATTTTAATACATACATGTTTAAAGGTGCGTAAATACTTGTATCTTTTATATGTATGTCACTTATTGAATTTTATCTCAATCCATTAAATATACAAATTTATCATAGGGAAAAGGTGTTATTTTCTATCAAATCTTGAGAATATTGACGATAATAATAATTTATTGTTTCGAGATGATCATAATAGGTATTTTTTTTTTTATGATATCATATACATATTATATTGCTTATTTTAAAATGATTCTTTTTATAAATCAAAGCTTATCAGGAAGGATATTGCACGTTTCGGAAAGTTCCAAATTTTTTAATCCTCAGAAATTTCCAAAACTATCGAGTTTTTTCTTCCTACCTAATTTTGTAGCTTGGAAAATCTGTATTGAAAGAATATTATCAAAAGAATGTACCGTGATTTTTGTGGTCGAAGCAGGTTATGTAAGCAAATCAAAATCAATTATCTTCATTAAATTATAAGATTAAATCATCATTAGTTTATGCAATTTTACTTATAGGATTCCCCTCAGAAGCATCAGAGACATCAAGAACATAAACTAAATTACGATAAAATATCAGAAATCATTGGACTAGGTTGGATCGAGTATGAACTTCCATTTGAGCTAATCAAATGGAACTGGATACGGCCTTCAATTAAAGTAGAAAATGGTACAATTGATATGGTATGATTTATTATATTGTTCGCTAAGTGTAATTATTTATAGTTTGCAAAAATTGACTTGCACACACTGCTTACCTTCAATTTTGAAGAAAATCGATTATGTTCGGTTAAACTCATTTGAAAGAGGACCAATTTATTTACCAAAGATGGGTCATCTGTTACCAACCTATAAATCACAACCAAATGTACCCGAAGCTTTTGAAGATAAGTACTTTTCAAAGAAAGAAATGGAAAACTTCTTTGAATTAAAAGAAATCCTTAACTATCTATAATTTCACCGTTCACAATAACAATTTGCTTTATTTTTTCTATGATTAAAATCGAGATTGGTTAATATGTTTCGTGATTCGATTATAATGATAAGCTTAATATAACCTAAACTATTTGTCCAGACTATAATAAAGTTTATATACTAAATAATTAAGTTCCTAATAGAAAATTTTAATTATAAATTGAGTTGTTCCATCCTTTAATTAATACTATTATAATTATAATAATATGCATGTTAAATAACGAGGCTCCCGGACCTTTTTATTTTCATTTTACTACATAGGTCCTCTCAGATTTCTTAATAATATAACTTATTTACTAATAAAATTTATTTTTAAATAAAACATTTAATTGACTTTAAATTACAGTAATAAGTATAATTAAATACTATTAATCAATAAAAATAACTTACCATCTATTATATTATTAATTGTTTTTAAGTAACAAATTTAGTTAACTTTAAAGTATAGAAACAAAACTGATAATTAATAAAAATAACTTACCCACTAATAGAATTTATTTTTTTAAATAAAAAATTTAGTTAATTTTAAATTATAGTAACAAGTATAATTAAACATTGATAACAATAAAATAGCTTACTTCCTAATAAAATTTAATTTTTTAAATAAAAAATTTAACTTTAAATTATAATAATAAACTGAAATCAATAAAATAACTTACTTGTTATTATATTAATTAATAATTATTTTTTTTAAATAAAAAATTTAGTTGATTTAAATTATATTAATAATTAAATTAAATACTGATAATCAATAAAGCCTACTAATAAATTTAATTTTTAAATAAAAAATTTTAGTTGATTTTAAATTATAGTAACAAATATAATTATATTAAAAATAACTTACTTTCTAGTAAGATTTATTTTTTTAAATAAAAAATTTAGTTGATTTAAATTGCAGTAACAAGTATAATTAAATACTATTAATTAATAATCTAACTTACAATCTAAATTATTAATTAATAATTATTTTTTTTAAATAAAAAATTTAGTTGATTTTAAATTACAATAACAAGTATAATTAAATACTAATAATTAATGAAAATAACTTACTTTTAATTATATTATAATTATTTTTTAAATAAAGAATTTAGTTATATTAAAAATATAAATATTAATTAATATTTTACTTTCTATAATATTATAAAATATTTAATATATTTTATTTAAATTTTAATAATTGAATTAATAAAAATAAATTACTATCTAAATTATTAATATTTTATTTTTAATTAAAATTTTATTTATAAATTATAATAAATAAATATAAATTATTTACTAAATAAATATCATTAATTATAATTAAAAATATTTATATAATAAATTAAGTTTAAATTAAAATGTAAAAAATAAATAACTTATTTCCTATTGTATTATTAAGTATTTTTGAATAATAGTTTAATTAAAATTAAAATATAATAAAAATTTAATGGTTTACAATCTAAGTATTACCATCATTAAATTTTTTTTTAAAAAACAAATATTAATTATTAAATAATTATATAAGTAAATAATAGATAAATAAAGTTTATTACCATTTAATTCTTTTAATATAAGAGTATCTGAAACTGGTTCTATTATAATGTATTTATTTTTAAAATAATTTTGAAATTAGTATGGTTTATATCAAAAAGTCTAATATTTAGACCATTTATAAATATTCTTTACTATTTAATCTTTCTAATATTGAACAATTATTGAGTATTATTAATAGTTTATTATATTTGTTGATTAATTATATTTGCTATTATATTTACCTTCATCACTTGATACTAGTACTATATTTTAAGTTTATTAAAATTAAAAACATAAATGTCAAATTACAGTATTATGGTTATTATATTATCCTTCATTGCCCAAGGTTAATTCTACATTATAAAATATAATTAACAAATTCTTTTAGTATTGGTCAATTGAAACTGATTCTATATTCGAATTTGATAAAATTTAATTTTTAGCAAACAAAAATGAGTATAATTAACGAATTCGAGTGTGGTTAATAATACATTTATTACCTTCTAATAAGAAAGTATTTTAGCATCCGAAAATGGCTCTAATGTAATTCATGAAAAAAGAAAGATTTTAGAATATCATAAGCTTCATACCTTTTATTCCTTTTTCTTGTTTGGTAAAAATATTATTTAATTTTTTTATTACATTCATACCTTTATAATTACTATTAGACATTGTTAGTAACTTATAATAAAGAAAAAAAGTTTTTTAAAAAAGCATTCAAATTATCTTGTATAACGAAAAATTTTTAATTTCGTTTCGTTTGTTTTAATTTTTATATTTTTTCTTTTAAATTCGGCGATCATTTTTTTTATTTATATTATTCGTTTTATTTTATTCTTTTTAATTTTTATAGTGCACTTTCGTTATAGAATTAAATACTTCATCTTTGTGTTTAATAAAATTTTAAAAACAATTTTTTTTTTTTTTTTGCAAAAGAATCTGTTTTTATTCTTCAAAACGAAAAGATAATCTTTAATTTTTGAGAATTGTCTTATGTATTGTATTGGTTAAATAAAATTTTAAGTATAATGTTATGAAAATGTAATTTAGATGATTGCACTATACTATAAATATCAATATTGCTATATAATAATGGATTTTGGCAATTTCTATGATACAGCATCTTAGAGCTTCTTTATAATAACAACTAAATATACATAAGAAAAAAATTGAAACTAAATTTTATCAAAGGAATTCGCAATAATTGCTTCAAAAATCAAGAAAAATAGTTAATTTTTTAATATTTTTTAGAATAAAAAAAATCTCCACAAATGATTTAGATAACTAGTTTTAAATGAAATTCTACTCAATTCCTTACTGTTAAACAATAAAAGATTTTTGTTTTTTTAGAAATTGCACTGCAGTAAGTGGGCGACCAAAGAATAAATTTCACTGCTGTGATGGTTGTAGTTGTGAAATCAAATCTATAATTGTATATTTGGGACTTAGGTGCAATACAACTATGGGTGAATAAAGCGAGAGATAACTTCGTTTAATTTTATCACCCAAAAGGTTTTGGACAATTATTTGTTGAACGATTCAATCCGTTAATTTTGCATATTAGAATCAATTAAAATTTTAAATTCGTAATTATTAAATTGTGAATTTTTCTAATGTCGCCGCCATATCTTCAGTAATTGATTTGAATTGTCTGGTACAGAACATTTCTAATTAACAGTTATCATAATTTTTTATCTAACTACCAATAGTAATTTAATCATATAAAACAATTCATTCAATTCTTTGAACTAGGGATGTTAAATTGCTAAACCAGTTCGGTTCAATACAGCTTTAAGCTTAAGCTTTTTTGAGAAAATAAGCTTTAGTTAGACTTGATTTACTTAAGCGGGTTAGTAAGCTCGCTTATCTATTTTATTATATAATAAATCTTTATCAGATTTTATTGGAGTATTTTTATTTATATTTAATTTTTTATGTCAATATTATTTATGATGGAAAATATGTTGAATCAATTGCTATTTTAAAATAATTAAATAATTTTACAATTTTATTGATTATTCGAATTATTTTAATAATATCTGCTTCATAGAGCTATTTTGATCAAACGCGCCATATATATAAGCTCAAATTAACAAACGTGTTAAGCAAGCTCAAAGCACGTTTAAAAGAATATTAAAGCTAGTTGAAAAAGCTTGTGCTTATACTCAGTTTAAATATGCTTTGTTGAAGCAATTTAACATCCCTACTTTGAACTAAATATACCTTCCTTTAAACTACAAATTTCAAATGCACACTTTACATCGGGTAAATAATTGAAAACTTCAACGCTTGAAATGTGAGTGTGGTATTGGCCTTTTTATACAAATACTAAGATAACGCATGTCAATGAAAAATGAAAAGTGTTCGAATTCCGGATAGCAAATTTGATTATTAATTAATAAAATATCAAATACCATTGGATCCAAGCTTAAAAATTATGTTTTTATTATGATAATGATGATGATTATTAAGATTGTCAATGAATGAAAAAAATGAATATGTTAAATTATGATATAAAAATTGAGATTTATTAATAAATATTGAAGCTTATTGTTAAATAAACCTAAAAATAATTTTTTGAATTTTAGCGTGGCAGAAATTACAAAATAAATGCGTAAATAAATTATAAATAAAATAAAAATAACGAAGGTAACAAAATTGTCAAAGTAATGATGATACCCAAGAGAACAGCATAACAGACCCACGGTTTCTATTTTTAAACATGGGAGAAAAAAAGAGGAGAGAAAAAAAAACATGAATATTTAATAATGTAAATTTCAAAATGATTAATATTAATGAATTTACTTTTCTTTCTTGTAGTCTACTACCACATTGAGGACATGTGTCAATCTCATCCATACAAGAACTCAATACACAAGGTAACCAAAACAATGGCCAAAAAACGCAACACAATAAGGCACCACCAAACCAAGATGCTGTACCCTGGTAGTAAGATGTTACGGGAATCGTAATTCTGCCACAAACTGGACAAGGATGACCACTTGGAATTTGATTTATGTAAACGACCGGATAATTTGTAAATGCTGAAGAGACATTAATTATATTTGATGGATTATTTGCAGTTGCTAGTGGCGGTGTCAGATATGAGGGTTGAGTTGGATAAGGTTGCTGCTGTTGGTTATAATAAATGGGTAGCTGATTGGATTGCGGGGGGTCAGGTAATGGAGTATATGGTGGCGGTAAAGATGAAGGCATTTTTAAAATTTCGATGATAGGTAAACTTAATAATAAATGCTAAAATCAAAGAGTTAACCAAGTATTGAAATATTTGAAAATATCCATTTTGGGTTCTCATTTAGAGTTTTTTTTTTTTCTATTGATTGTGTCGTGTAATTAGATAATCTGCATATTACCGAACCTTATTATATCAATCAAGTATAAACCTTTCAAATGTAAATGAAAAATTGCTTAGAATTCCAAGGAAGGTTTAATTGACTTGCACAAATA